TTAACATTGTATAACTATATGGTGTCAGAAGGGTACTAGACAGATCAGGGTGATAACTTCATAAGTTATATATTAATAAATGTCTAATCACTATGTTGTACACCTGAAACTAATATAATATTGTGTCAACTGTAATTGAAAAACATTTAAATTTAACATGACAAGTTTCAGAGAAAAAAAATACCATCATCTTATCATCATACCACATCTCTTTTCATTTGCATATGTTAGATATTTATACATAGCAAAGGCATGCAATTTTGGGTACAGCCACTTTTCTTTAATACATGGAAATGAGAACAGCTTATTCAGAGTGTGGGCTTTAGAGCTATGCAAACTGCATTCGCACCACAGCCTGTGTGACACAGCCATAGTTCTTACCTAACCCACATCAAGACAGATTTCCTAAACTGGAAAATTAGAAATAACAATAAAAAGCCGATTTCACAGGTGCTCAAGAGGATTAAGTGTAATGATCTATGAAAAGTGTCCGCAGGTGTCACCAAATGAGGACTCAAGAAACAGTGGCTCGGGTGGGCTGAGTGGCGCATTGGTTAAGAGTTGGCTTGGGAACGCCAGCTCTGAGCAGCAGGGTCCTGGTTCAGATCCCACATTAAGGCCAGTGACGCTGCGCCCTCTACAGCTAAGATGGAGAACAACAGCTTGACCTGGAGCTGGGCTGTTGCAAATCAGGCGATGGCGTAGGCTGCAGTGAAGCTGCAGTGAGCTGCCATGAGCTACCATGGGTGGCTGGAAGCCACCGTGAGCAGCCGTGCAGTGGCCCACGACCGATCTGCCTCACCTGGGAAGAGCACAATGATAATACCAACATGGGCCAGTGAAGCAATATCCTCCACAACTAGACTGAAGAACAAAAGGACAGCAACTTGTCTGTTCTTTTTCCCCGATTCCCCAGTAAAATCTTTAAAAAAAACAAAACGAAAAAACCAGTGGCTCTTAAAAATCATTGTTTTCCTAATTTCACCTTCTATCTCATTCTCAGGTTTCCTCCCCATGATTAAAAGCCTTTACATTCATCTAATATTGGCTTGAAATACCAAAACATAGGCAGACAAACTCAAAAGAGATGAATACCAGCAGACCACACAGCATCTTCCAAAATTTCAGCGCAAGGATGAACAGATGACAGTCCTGTCCTGGTTCTGCCGCTGTGGGACAATGGCAATACCGTTTCCCTCCACCAGGGGGCAGGAAACACAGGTACAGTAGCTCCTACTGCCCCCATCCTCCAGCACAAGGAGGCCTAGAGGCAACTGGCAGCCCAGAGAATCACCTTCGGTGCCTGCAGACAGTACCAGAGGGATCGACAAGCAGCCACAGCAAGACAGGAACCAAGCAGACAGGAACCTATTGCCAGGGCTCTGAAAACTAAATTGTCATTGGAACTAAAGCCTACAGTGTAAGACAGAGCTTACACACTCAATCGAAACATAATTACGACTAAAGAAAAGATTTAAATAAGATCTAGAGTCTCCCAACAGAATATAATAAAAAATCACCCATCATGCCCCAAACCATGAAAACCACAACTGAAGGAAAAAAAGACACTCAACTGATGACAATACTAAAATCAATCAAATATTAGAATTATCCAACCATGATTTTAGTTTTTTATTTTTTTTAATTTTCTTAAAAGTTTTTATTGGAGAATTGGAAGAAGGGAACAGTGCCGGGGAATCGGGGAACGGGAACAGACAAGTTGCTGTCCTTTTGTTCTTCAGTCTAGTTGGGGAGGACATCGCTTCACTGGCCCATGTTGGTATGATCATTGCGCTCTCCCTGGGTGAGGCAGTCACTTGCCCGCCAGCCGGCTCACGGTAGCTTACGGCAGCCCACTGCAGCCTATGCCGTCACCCCGTGACTCACCGCAGCCCAGCTCCAGGTCAAGCTGTTGTTCACCATCTTAGCTGTAGAGGGTGTAGCATCACTGGCCCTCATGTGGGATCTGAACCGGGTCCCTGCTGTTCAGAGCTGGCGTCCCAAGCCAACTGTTAACCAACGCGCCACTCGGCCGGCCCCAACCAAGATTTTAAAGCAGTCATCATAAAAGTGCTTCCAGAATCGATTATAAATTGAAATTCTCAATGAAAAAAAGTGGAAAATCTCAACAAAGAAATAGAAGTTATAATAAAGAACCAGGTGTTAATTATAGGACTGAAAAATACAATCATTGAAATAAAAAAAAATAATTTGTTGGATGGTCTCAATAGTAGGGTGAAGATGACAGAATAGTTAGTGAACGTAAAGACAGTTCAATAAAATTTACTCAGTTTGATGGGGGGGGAGGGAAAGAGAGAGAAATGGACTGAGAAAAATGAATAGAGCCCAGAAATCTGTGGGACAATAACAACCTAATAATCTGATATTGTTTCACTGGAACTCAGGAGAGGGGAGGGACTAAGAAAGTGTTGGAAGAAATAGTGGTTGAAAATTTCCCAAATCTGTTAATAGGTATCACATCTACATACTGAACGTTTCACAGTTAACATTAATATGGTACCACTTCCCATAAAATGTGGAAAACTTGCAATTGTATGGGTCCTTGGACCACTCTGTCCTTGTGCTCCAGTTGTTATATATATCTACACACATTATAAATCCTCACAAGACAATGGCATAATTTTTCCTTTAAATAGTCCTCTGCATTTTAAAAAACTAAGGGGCAAAATAATGCTGAGTATTTAGATATGTGCCATTTCAGGTTTTCTGTATTGCTTCTTGAAGATTTGCGTTTCTATCTGGTATTATTTTCCTTTAGTATTCACTTCAATGAGCATAGCTATAATAGCTGCTTAAAATCCTTATTTGCTCATTACAATATCCCAGTCATCTTGGAGTCGGGTTTGGTTTATTCTCTTTTCTCTGAAATCGGGCCATATTTTTTTTTTTGTTCTTCATATGTTGCATAATTCAGAGTGACTCCTGAATATTGTGGCTATTATGCAGTGGAAACTGGATTTGGTATATTCTTCTATCGAGTGTTGATGTTTTTGTCTCAGCAGGCAATTAATTTGGTTGGATTCAAGCTGTGAGTTTTCTTGGGCAGCAGATCAAATTTGAGTTCGGTTCTTTTATCTTTAGCGGCTCTGTGTTCAGTCTGTCCCACCCACGTGTGTGTGGTTCAGGGGTCAATCAAGACATAGCGTTTAAACACAGAACTTGGGGCTCCTGCTCTTGGAATGTTTTCTGAAATTTCCCTCTTTCCAGTGGCTGTGGTTGCCCAAACTGCCTGCTGGCTCTTTAGGCCAGAAATACCACAAGTTTTCTGTGGGGGGTTTGGCCACCCCACTGGATACTGACTGCGCTCTGCCCTCAGGATAAAAACTAAAAAAATGGGAAATCATCTCCTGCTGCTGCCTTCTCCCAAATCTTACATCCCTCCAGCATCTGCCTGCTTTTCTTCACTCTCCAGTATTGTTTTTGAGTTTGTCCAGAATCTAGAGTTGGGTTCAGTTGGAGCTTAATGCATAATGAATGCAGAAACCTCCTTGAGATTTTAACGTGACATTTTGTTAAAACTCAAAACTAAGTTTGGAAGAATGTCATTTTTAAGACACCCATCCTGTCTAAGCAAGATCCTGTTTTGTCTATCCATCTGGTTCTTTGATGCTTCTCAGTAAAATTTTCTTCATAGAAATCCTGAACATTTCTTATTAGCTAAGTATCTAAGTTTATCATATTGAAATTGCTTGTGCTATATTCTCCTTATTTCCTTGTAATTAATTTGGTAATTTTTGGAGGCTGGAATTTATGGAAGCCTGATTTGCAATAGGCCTCTCCCCTCCGTGTTGCACAATTAATTTTCAGTTTCCTCCTGAATGCATACTGTGAACTTCGTGTCGGGTCACTAAGATCGTCAGTGGTCCAATCCAGTTTCTCATCTGCTCCATGCAGTCTCTGCCCTGTTGAACTCTTTGGGTTAAGAGCACTGATCTTGGGTTGGTTCTAATTCTTTATCTTCAGTGCAGAGCTCAAACACATATAAAACTATGGGAATATGCTCTCTCCTTGCTGGTAACTTTATATGTTGCTAACCTCTAGAGGTGTGCACATGGAAAATTTACTGATAGAATGGGAAAGGGGTTCAAGCCATCTTCCATGTTGTCCATTTTTCTTTAATAGATTGAACCAGTTCTGAATGGAATTTTCCAAAATAATGCAGAAATACCTTAAGAGTGAGGTTTTTCTTTTCTTTTGGGAAATAGTCATAGTTACCTGAACTACATTGGGAAAAAAACAAAATAAAAGGAGAGTTAAGATAAAACTACAAATTTAAAAAATAACACATTATTAAACCTTTGAAATTGACTTATTTAAAAAAAATTAACAGATATTCACATCAAGATCAGAAAAAATTTAAATCAACTTCTCAAGATACACAGGCATCTTCTGTTCTTAAATGTTACTTTTATGTTCTGAATCCCCATAGCTTTCCACAAAACTACATTTGAAGTTATAGAAGTGTTTGGCATATCACTAGCATCTAACAAGAACTTCATGTGTGCTTAATAAAATAAAAAAAAAACAACAAAGAAAATATTCTTTTCCAAAAAGATCTCATTTCTTAAATTTCATTTAAGAAAACAAAAAGCACTTTTAATCACATGTTATGACTAGTGGTGATACTGGAGAAAATTATTCATTTCAGACAAAATACCTTATTATTTTATCGTACTGCATAATCCTGTCCTAAAAAAAAAATATTAACTGTTTCCCCAAAGAAGTTACAAGAGACCAAGATCATACTAAAAGTACTTTATTGTCATTATTAAATGCATGAAATATACGTACTAAATGGAATATACTGTACATTTGATAAAACATATATAGCATTCATCAAGGTAAAAATATATATACATAGTCATAGAATGGAAAGATGGCACACATAAAAAAAAAATGAAGTTTTCAAATGTTGAAATAACTTTACCATGTACCATAGATATTCTACAACTTTTCTCTTAAACAAAAGGGGACTCAACATACATAGTAGTGTGAAGAGATTAAATGCCAGATATTCTACAGAAAGAGAAAATATTAACATCCTGGAATAACGTTTACTCCTGGCCCATGTTCTGCCCACTGGAAAAAAGTGCACTGTTTTTCCTTACCAAGAGGACACACAAAAAAATTCTTTCCATTATTAGGTCCAATCTTCAACACGGTTCTCATGATAGAGCGTCTGCCGTGGTTGCAGAACGGAAAGGACAGATCTGCCCACTGTGGGAAAAAACACAAAGACTGTAACGTTTAGATGAAAGCTAGAAGGATGTGCAGGCTAAGCTTGGGTGCATTTGATTAATGCCATACTGTCTTCATCGCTCTTCCTTTTCATTTGACATTGTAAAACAGACATGTCATTACTCGTTGCCCTCAAAAAAGCTTATATCCTATAAGAAGCACCTCTTGCAACTTTGCTTCAATCTCACAGAAAATTGACTTAATTCTGAACTTCCCTTTGTCTTGCTGTAAAGCAAAAACCAATGTTTCTGCTATAGATCTGTTTTAGTTAAAACTATTCAGATCAAAGATTTGTCATGATTCTAATACTAAACTTCCTTAGTCTCTTAAAGAATCCAATACAGGATTACTGGAACTAATTTAGGCAGATTCCACTGTTTTCCTCTTATTCTTGTTTATTTTGGCTTCAAGAGAGGTCTGAGGACCAGGTTGTGCTATTATTAATATTGCGAATCATTTTCTCCATGACATCTATAAAAGCTTCTCGAGGAGCCGCTCTGTAAGTTTAGTGGAATGGAGTCACACTTTGCGCAGGGCTTAACATCTAAAATCGTTACCAAATTTTCCCTGGGAAATTCCTTAGGAAGATATGTTGAAGATAAGCTACTTTCTCTCTCCTCAACCGGAAAATTTTTGCTCTGGCACTGAAACAGATCAATATATATATTTTTCCCAGCAATGCACCAGATGAAGCAGTTGGAAAAATACATATCGTTAACATTAGAATCACACTCAGCATGGTGAGCTGCTCACAGTGAGAAAGGCAGAAAGTGCGACTGGCTAGAAGGACCCAATTCTTGGCTCCTATCTCACATTCGTTTTCAGGGGCACATTCACAGATCAAAAAGGCTTGGGGAATCACCTCTATCTACATTGTTATGGTGCCATCACATTTGTTGGGTCAAGCACGTGAAGTAGGATTCACTAAGTTTATAGTGTAAATCCAAAGCATGTAAATTATTTTTCTTATGTACCTCTATCCAATGTGTAAGCGGAAGGTTTTCATGTAGCATTTAAGTTAGGACGAGCACATTTGTATCTTTGGTTGTTCAGCCACCGGGGAAAAAATGACTCAATACCTTTTCATGTTTATAAACCAAGGGCGACACTGCTACACTGTGGTTACAGATACGATACACTCTACCAATCTTCTACCTATCATTTGATTAATTTTTATTTTTTTGATGAACCTCCTTGAATTTTAATTTATTCAACCTTCAGGCTTTAGACTGAATGTCAATATGGTTATTTAAAATTTAAAGGTAAAACCGGAAAAGGACTGCTGTTTGTCATGTTTTAATAACTGAAGTATTCAATTACACTATAGCAAGCTTAATAAATCTTACACTTACTTCGAAAAATCCACACTGTGCTTTTCCAGGTAGAGGACAAGCATAAAACTGCCTGCCCTTGTTTTCGCCATCCTTCCTCACAACTCGGAGAACGCAGAGGCGGTTGTGTTTACTGCAGCGAGGTCTGTGAGCAGTTAATGCACAAGTACCATCTGTCATATTAAATTGAAGTTCACTGTAATGACAGGTTACAAAGTAACTATAGCATAATAGTGCTAAAGGGATCATTCACAGATCCTGAACCCAGGCTAGAATCCCGCTTGCACAAAGAAGCTGTATCAAAAAGTGGACCACGGTCAACTTTAGGTAATTACACAAACTGCTAAGTCTTTTTCATTCTTAGTTTTCCCAGGTAATTCTAATTTACTTTCAAAGTGACCTATGTACCTAAAGCATGCCATTTAAATTTCTAAAGAAAGAACAGAGGAATTGAGCATCCAATACATCCAATTTTCTTAGTTTTCATTTGTGATAGTCGATTTGTCTCTTACCCAAAATTCTTTGATCAAGGCTACTATAACAGTTGCAATCATATTTCAGCCAGAACAGGCTGCAATGGCTGAGCAGAAATGTGTACTTTGTGAAGCTCATAAGGAAGCTTTTCTCCCCCATGATTAGGATCAAGAGTATCACAGGTTATTCCTGCACACAGTGTACAAAGGCCAGACGCCAGCCTTCTACTGCAGCTGTGTGAGCGGAATTTTCTCTTTGAAAAGGAGCTTCCTGGTTATTTTAAAGTTTTTATAATTTTAATAATACTTTTATACCTTTATAAGGCATTATTAATCTTTTTAATAAACTAGTTGAAGAGAAAAAGAGCTCACATTAATTAAAACCAGAAGTCCTTCCCCTTAATGCCCCTACTTTGTAACTTTTTAATGATAAAAAGCTTCATCTTTTCTCATTGTTTAATTAATTTCTAAGGAAAAAAATTTCATTCTTAAATCAAAAATACTTATAAAGCAAAGGTAGCGCCTCCTTCCTTGCTTCCTAAACTAAATGCTCCTCTACTTACGATGGGGTTACGTCCTGATAAACTCATCATAAATTAAAAATATTCTGTCAAAAATTCATTTAAGGGCCGGCTGAGTGGCTCAGTTGGTTAAGAGCTCGCTCAAGAGTTTGAGCTCTGAGCAACAGTGGTTCGAGTCAGCCTGAGCTGAGCAGCCGTGAGCTGCCAACAGGTGGCGGGATGGCTCAGCTAAAAAAAAAAAAAAAAAAAAATGCATTTAAAACACCTAACCTACCAAACATCATAGCTTAGCCTAGACTACCTTAAACGTGCTCAGAACACTTACATTAGCCTACAGTTGGGCAAAATTATCTGACACAAAGACTATTCTATAGCAAAGTGTTGACACTCTCATGTAATTGTGCGTATCTCTTTCACACCACCATAAAGTTGAAAAATTGTAAATCGAACCATCCTTAGGTTGGGGATTGTCGGTACATTCTTCACATACTTGTTCCTATAACGATGCCTCAAGGCATCCCATCTAATTAAATTGTTCAGAGAGCTTTTTTCTCCCAGTGTTATTGAGATATAATTGACATATAAGAGATCTTTTATTTGTGACAAAATTGGTTTAAGCTCATTTATAAAACAGATGCTTAAATATATGGCTTTCAATGGACTCAAACATTCTAATGCTTGGGAAGGACTCACACACTCGGAGGGGAGCCTCTGAAGCTGTCTGTGCAGCAGCTATTTGCAAGATGAGAGAGGCGATGGGCATCGCTAAGGAAATCATTACTGTGAAATACTGTGCCGGCAATGACTTTGTTGGTTAAGATTTTCAGAGTGGAGGAGGGTGGCTTTTATGTTAGCATCACAGGTAATACCTTGAAATTGGAACGCTAGTTTGTTATTACCACATATTCCATATTACCACACCCATTCCCCACCCCCACAAAGGCAATATTAAAACTTTGGCTTTAAGGGAAGCTAAATATATGCATGGTTGTAGAGAAGTCAAGAGATTTCAAAATTGGAGCAAATGGGTCATCAACAGTGCTTTTACATTTTTTTTTTTTTTTAGCTGAGCCATCCTGCCACCTGTTGGCAGCTCAGCGGCTGCTCAGCTCGGGCCGGGACTCGAACTGCTGTTGCTCAGAGCTCACACTCTTGAGTGAGCTCTTAACCAACTGAGCCACTCGGCAGGCCTGCTTTTACATTTTTTAAAGGCGAAAATTCGTTAAGCACATTAACAGAAAGAAATGAAATGATGCTCTCATTTAAAAAATGGACACATGAAAGGGTCATTTTATATATTATTTTGAAGCTGGCTGTGTGAGATACAATTAGTGAAACATTTTCTAGTCCATTGGCTTCAACCTAGAAACCTCCCGAGTTGCGCATATCCAGAGAGAGGTTTAGATTCTCTGACTAGTGACGCTCTTCTGGGAGGGGGCCAAGATGGAAGATAGGCTTCAGGTAGAAAGGAAAGGCCCCGACGTCTCCGACTGGTTCCTCACTTCTGTTTTCTATTCTGTTTCTCCCTTGGTATAAAGCTAAAAACAGCCGTATGCTAGCCTATCCCTGTACTTAGTGTGGCCCACTGACAGGAAGCACCAGCCTCACATGGGAACTCCTTAGAAATACGGAATCACCGGCCCCGCCCCAGATCCCAGGCAGAGTCAGAATCTGCACGTTAACAAGATTCCCAGGTAATTCATGTGCACATTGCATTGTGAAGCACTGAGTAACATAACCAAGATAGTGATGCCACCTGTGATCACACATTGGCTCTAAATATGCACAGCTAATCTTAATTTTATGAAAGAAAACATTATCCAATATAATTAATGTTCTGATTAACTGAGGACATCTTGGTTCCTCTTTGTTTCAATCATTATTTATTTTTTTTCTAAACTGTAGCAGTGCATTTCCTTAGGTAAACTTAGCATATGGAAGTTTAACTGATTTTAATAACTAGGGCCATCATTTTGAATATTAAGACTGGATTATAAATGGTCCGTAATATAATAAGAGATCAGGGGTTGGCAAATCTTTTCAGAGAACACATATTTTAGGTTTGCGGGTCTCATGGTCTGTGTTGCAACTACTCAACTCTACTGTTGCAGCATGAAAAGCAGCCATAGAAAATGGGTAAACCAATGGCAATGGAATGTGTTCTAATAAAACTTTATTTACAAAAACAGGTGGCAGACTGGATTTGGCCCTGATGCCTGTAGTTTGCTGAGGCAGAGGTCATTAGAACCCAGAGCAATACATGATGCATAATAGGTTCTCAATAAGTACTTATTAATTAATAAATAAACCAATAACATTGAATAGAGATCAGATAAAAACAATGATTGAGAAGGAGGACATTACCAAGCACAGGTATGTAATTTTAACATGGATATTATTTTTTAAGTGATCAATCTATCACTGTTTAACTTATTTTACATTGTTTAAAATGTTTTTTGAGTGAATCAGTCTCATTGAATGTAGATTTTGTAGTTCAGTAGTATTTCAAGATTGAAATAAACTAACTGAAGTTCAGTGAATCACCCTGGATGGTCCCATGTGGTTCAGAAATCCTTGGGGACTGAAAAGTCTACAAGGTGACCCAAAAGCATGTGTAATGTGTGATTAGAGATAGAGCTCTGGCAACCCTGATGGCAAAGATGTGAGAAAATGTTTGTGATTCTGCTGGTTTGGGTTCACTCATCTACGGGAATCTTTGTATCAGCTCAGGAAAATGTTTAACCTGAAACACATGTATTCTTTGAAAAATATATCACTGTGTTTTGCTCTGTGTTTACAAGAAGTGTAACAAAAACTGCATCTAGAAGTTATTCTTAGTATCTTAAAACTTCGTTCAACCATCTAATTTATAATGCAGTAGCTGGATCAAATTCAAGTATATCTAGAGACCAATCCGAAAATATGCCTCATCAACATGTAGTGATGAGATCAGTAATTAAGAGAACAAAAAGCGAATTAATTACCAAATAATTATTAAAGAAAAAATAAACTGGCTCTAAATTCTGAGTGGACCACCTGCTTTAATCGTATAATGTTGTGAGCTTCTGTGAGGCATCTCATCCACAAGATGAACACTGTAGCTGCCAGACAAGGAAAAAAATGAAATAAATGACAGTAATTTGCAATTTATTCCTTGTAAAGTAGCTGGATGCAGAAGGGCTGCTGGGTAAATGTATTTCATCACTTGACATTTATTTTGCTAGATAATCTTGATTGATTTTAGAGTCTTAGTCCTGGGGTTCTTATATTCCACACATACACATGCTACAGTATTTCTAAGTGATGCTGTGTGCTGTGATTAATCATATGACCCTATTACTAATGGCTTATGAAGAAATCACTTAAATTTAAGGTTACATTAATGTTTTTCTTAAATCCCTAATTCATTAGTTAAATTGTCTGCGATTTTCTACAAAGCACTAAGGAAATAAAAATATGCCAAGATATTTCATCGGGGTACAGCACATGCCATATTTTTAAATGATCACATCTACTTCTTTCTACTTAAGCTACAGAACAGAACAGGCTATTCAAAAATGACTTTCTTACAGGATAGCTGACCAACTCAGATACTCTTAACTACCTCCTTCATGAGCTTTTATCACAAGATATTAATTAGGGTTAGCATGAAAAGTTGGTGTACTGAGTCATTCAAAGTTCGGCCCTGACACTTTAATTCAAATGTGTAACATTTGGGAGTATTATGGACAAAAGTTAAACCCGTTATTATAAGTGACTATAAACAAATTTTTTTAAGAAATCAGTCAAGGACAACTTATCAAGATTCATTAATGGTAAATTTAGAGTTAGGATAGGAAACTTGAGATAAAAGCATCCTTTGACCAAACTCTCAGAAATCGCTGATGACTTAAGCTCTAAGGGTTCCCAGAGGCTGGTCTAGGAGTGTATACCAAGTGGTTTCTCAGCTCACTGCCACAAGGGAGAACGTTTGCATCAGCAAAGGCAGAGCTACTCAGAGGAGAAGCTGGCAATCAGAATCCCTTTGAGATCACTTTAGATCCCGTCCACAGTAACTCTCTGGTTGTCTCCCACTGGCAAGACAGGACACGTAGGAAGAAGGCTCTTCACCTTCACTCCTTTTAAAATTTAAAATACTCTTCATTGCATTTTAAAATGCTGGGTATATAGCACCTCCGTTCTGAAGGAAAGAGAAAAACCAA